AATGAGTTACACATACAAACAACGGCTTTCGAATCATTTAAAAAAAATCCAAACAAAATATCTAAAAAAACCATTTAAGCATTTTATTACTTAAAATATAGCAGTGTGTGACTAGGCTAAAGCCTAGGCTAATTAACTTGTGATTTTCAGTTTTTTAGATTATTTTTTTTATGTTTCCCCACATCGTTAATATTTAAGCCTAGTATGGTTTTGCCTTTAGCTCGATCCAAATCAAAATTTTGGATCTGTCTCTGTGTGTGAATGTGCTGGACTCAAATGCAAATTTATCTTTTCACACCAGATATAAATTAAACAGGTACATTCGATAAAATCTAAATTTGGCAATACAACATCAATTTGGTTAACAAACTGGGGCAATTGGATATATAAATTTTTAAAATCTTCCATCACAATTAGGTCTTCACATTTAAGGATGCTCATTCTCATTTATTTTGTTATACTGTGCAGTTTATTATTGTATGCATTTTCATTCTAGAAAATGTTCATTTCTAAGTTTCCGTTTGAAGTAGGTTAAATTTTAACTGAGGCGACTAGATTTTTTTTGCAAGATATACTAAGGCGACTAGATATGTTGAATTATGAACAATTATATTTAACATACATTCTATTAATAAAATAATACATTCTATTGTATTTAAAAATTATCTGCACATTGTTTTTCAATAACTTATTTAATTAATTAACTTCCCAATTAAATTTTGATCTAACGATTTGAAGATCTAATCTACACTTCATAAAGAACATGCTCACAAATTGAATAAAATAATCTCACCCATCAAAATCACCTCAAATGGAGTCGGACACACAGCGAGTTTCAGTCAAGTGGACTGATGCGATAAGCTCTCTCTCTCTCTCTCTCTCTCTCTCTCTCTCTCTCTCTCTATATATATATATATATATATATATATATATATATATATATATATATATATATATATTAAGGATCACATACAATGTATTAATTTACAAAATGAAAATAATAAATCCTAGCCATCTATTTTAGATAGTCTTTTAGATTTATTTTATTTTTCGGAAAATTTCTCGAGATATGACTAAAACATATTGAGTTTCCCGGAAATGATTAGGTTTGTTTTCAGACATTCGTATGAGTAAAAAGCAAAAAAAATCTCGTCGTATTAAAATGTTGAAGGGCAAAAAATATTACTCTTTCCGTCCCGCTATGATTGTCCCATTTTACCTTTTCGGTCAATCCCACAAAGATTGTCTCATACCTTATTTGGTAAAGTTTGTGTGGTTCTAAATCATTCATACTTTATTCTTACTTTATCAATTCAATATCAACCACATAAACACACTTTTATTAATAAATGTGTCACCTTCTCTTGTCCCAAACTTAGGGGGGCGGAGGAAGTAATATTTTAAAAAATTGCATTTTGAACTACTTTTGTTCAAATAAAAATATTGTACTTTATGCAGACGTTACTTCACTTAATAAATGCGTTTCTGCACGACATGATAAAAAGTTTAGGAATTTACTATTTTTTATTTCTCTTTAGATTTGATACCTTTAATTTTTACGTCTAATTAAATACTCCCTCCGTCCCACTTTAAGGTTCCCACACGATTTATGATGTTTCACTGACCAAAAAGTTAACTGATCCCTGTCATTACTAGAATTATTTTTAGTAAATAGAATTTACATATTCAGAAACTACATTAAACCCGCTACAAAACTTGCAAAAAATAATTTAAATTTCATAAACATTCGATATAAAAAGTAAAAGATTAAGAACAATGCACGTTGACCGGAGAATAGTGTACGGGAACCTTTAAATGGGACGGAGGGAGTATTATATATTGCACTCTATGTCGGCGTTATTGTACTTCATGCGTAGTTACTTGACGACATTACAAAAATGTAAGGAATTTATAGTTTTTTAGATTATATAACTTTAGCTTTTACGTCTACTGGTGTATGTTGCACTTTTTGCCAATGTAAATGCTCTATATTACAACACTTGTTGTCATAATCACTGTCTTTTTATCATAATCACTACATTAAAATTACTCACTGCATTCACTATTCACTGTCCTAGAATATATTTACTACACACCGTCTTTAATCTTGGGTTCGTCTTCAACCTCGACGGCTATGGCTGAAGAATCTGAGTTGTTGGAGCAACGGTCTAGTGCCGTTCTTTGGGCACATCACCAACCCTAAATTTCAAGAAATACAAAAAGAAGGAGAAAGAGAAGGAGAGGAAGAAAATAGAAGGTGGAGGAGGAGGACCTAGGCTGGATTCAAGCGGGCGACTGGTAACTGGAGTCGGGCGGAGGCAAACAATGCAAGAAGACAAGCAATAATTATAAAATAAAGGGTACAATGCAAGAAGACAAACAATAATTATAAAATATAAATACAGAGCAGAAAAGAGAATATAAAAATTAAAACTAGACCCAAGGGAAATCTCTAGACTGGGTATGTTTATTTAATTATATTCACGTGTCTATTCTTATTATTTTCATAATTCTTTTTTCCTTAACATTTAAATTTTTTAAAGTATTTATTCAATTAATTTTTAGATGATAATAAATATAATTAGATTACTATTTGAACAAAGTTTGTTTTTATTTCTGTATTATTGGATCTACAACTTTTTACAATTAAACATACACTTTACCTAAAAATAATTCAATTAGTTTAGATTTTATTTATTATTAAGATATTTCATTTTTTTAATTTCAATTACTTTTGATTAAGATTCTAATATGTTTATTATGTTAAGAGAAAATATTTTTAGGGCATTGCAGTAATATTCTAAATTGGTGGTCGGGGGCGGCGTTGGTCAATGATTGGTCATTGGTCGAATCGGTCATGGTAACGGGTCAAATTGGTCACGGACGTTAGTCGGGTTGGTCACTAGTCGAATTGGTCACTGGTCGGATTGGTTACACTCGTTGGTCGGATTGGTCACATGTCGGATTGATCACACTTGTTAATCGGGTTGGTCACTGGTCGGATCGGTCACGATCATTGGTCGGGTTGGTCACTGGTCGAGTTGGTCACCTGTCGGGTTGGTCACAGTCACTGGGTAAATTGATCATGGTGATTTGTTGGTTTAGTCACTGGTCGGATTGGTCCCTGGGCGGGTAGTCACTGGACAGATTAGTCATGCTCAATAGTAGTAGTTTAGTCTCATTTTTGAAATTTTTTAAAAGTGATCCTATATTTGTCCATAGCATTTATATTTGTATTATTTATGGACAAACCCCTTGTTATTTCTGGTTAAAACACATTTTTATTAAAATTATTGGTAATAAATACACATAATTTATTAATAACTAAATTATTTTTGAAACACTAGATTGTAGGTTTTACAACCTGATTTATAAATTCTAACTACTTAGCTTAGTTAGATACTCCCTCCGTTTCTATTTGTTTGACACACTTTCCCTTTTTGGACGTTTCAAAATGAATGCCACACTTCTTTATTTCCTTATTTGATAAACAAATCTTTACCTAAACAGTGCAAAACAGTGTCAAACAGTGTTCAAACAGTGTTCAAACAGTGCCAAATAATGTTCAAACAGTGCCAAACAGTGTACTCTACAGTAAAATTTACTCATCAATAACTTTTTTCCCTTAAATCTTGAGAAGTCAAACTGTGTCAAACAAATATAAATGGAGGGAGTACTTTTTTTGGCTGAAAACTGGTATATTATTTGTAGTATTAAATCAAAACTCGCAGTACAATCAAGAGAATTGCAAAAAATAAAGTAACTATTTGACACTAACCTCCTTCTAGAAAAACATAACCATAAGCCCACCAGCCCTCTCACTTCTTTATTAGACATAGAGTAGTATATCCTAAAAAGAGCGAGACCTAACGTTAGTGTCCTGGTACGTGAATATATGCCTAACGTTGAAGTTCTGCCCCTGCGATCGCCTAAACGCCGAAGCCTGTGTGGAAGTTTGTAGACAAACCAAAGTTGCCGCACTAACTAGGAAATATTCCTACCCGTCCGCTGGATGTTTCTAGCTTAGTTAGCTACTTAAATTGTAGCTTAATTTTGACTATAGCTACCCCGTATCTTAGGGATATTTCCCAAAATAGGAGCGAATGTAGTTTGAGATTCCAAAATAGGACTACTATGTGTTTTTATTCCCGAAATAGGCTAACATGACAATATTTATTGTCATCTTGTATGCGTGATTGTCAAATAGTTGCAGTACAGTGCATTCAAACATCATTTACCCCAGTGCCGCAAGGCTCCTCCCACCTATGGTGGAGTAAGGGGGTCGTATGTACGCAGTCTTACCTCTGTACTAAAGCACAGAGAGACTGTTTCCGGATGACCCATAATGAAAATCACGTCCAAAATTGCATGGACTGACTGCTGCTTCATAACAAAGAAAAGCAGACAATTTGGTGAGGCATTTTGTTTTATTCCATCATATTCTCAAGCCAAAAAATAATGAATCTTTGGCTCCATTACAAATGATGGAAAGGCATTTAACATAACAATTTTTATTATAATTAATCACAATATTTTTCAATCATGACAATATTTTTCATACATGGTTGTAACAACTCTTCATTCGGGAAGAAAAACACAGTAGTGCTATTTTGGAATTTCAAACCTCATTTACTTCTATTTAGGGCAATTTTCTCGTACTCCGTATCTTATTATTGTACTTAATTTTTTTTACTAAAAACACATTGAATTTCTTTTTATTAAATACAGAATATTACCTCTATTATATTAGTCTTTCATTTCTTATAATTAAACATTAGATAAATAATCAGAAACTTCAAAAACAATTATTGTACTTAATTATAACAATGACAGATTAGTTCATCTAATAATTCTAAGGGAACCTCTTTATTAGTTTAATTAAAAAAAGTCAATTAATTTCGCAAAAAATAATAATAAAAAAGTCAATTAAACTTTAATACGAGTATCTAAAAGAATTAGAACTCGAAATCGAACCGTGCAATTTCAGAGCTAGTACCGTGCGATTCTGATTCTAGTTTTTCAGGATTTGAAAGTTGAAACCCCGAACCAGCTGTTCGGTTCCAACTCTAGTTCAGTTCGGAACAGGGACACACCAAAGGCTACAGTAAATACTTTTGCGAATCGTCCACGCCAAGTACGACAGCGCCTGGGCTCGGAACAGCAACGGTAGCTTACATGTATACCTTAGTCCTCGTGACTAAAGTGGTGCTTTACCGGATATTTCGCCCCGCCTTAAGGCGGGAATTCTCTCTTTTTTCACATGCTCCAGAGGCCTGCAGAGTCGAAGCTTCCTATAAGTTCCCTTCCCAGCAATCCCAGCGCATCCCCTACCATCCTCAAGCAGCTCGGCAAGCAATGGAAGATCCTTCACCAACGCCAAGACATGAGATCAAAGAAACCCATACGATATCAGCTGTCATATTTGATTTGGATGGTACCCTTTTGAACACAGGTGCTGCATTTCCTCTACTCACTTGTTTCCTGCAAATATATTTTGTGTTTGCTTCTTCTATCCACTTGAAACGTTTGTTTTCTTGGATTTGTGAATTACGGGTTACAGAGCAGGTGACAAAGGCTGTGTTTAAGGATTTTTTGGCTAAATTTGGGAAAGTCCCAGATAGGGAGAAGGAAAGTAAAAGGATGGGGTTGGTTCAGAGAGAGGCTGTCAGTTCCATAATCGAAGACTACGATCTTCCACTGACACCTGATCAGTATATAAAGGATATCTTACCCTTACATCTGGGAAAGTGAGTATATTTTCTTCTCTGTATGGCTCATCTTTCACAGCTTTATGGATTTATTTATAGCTACTGTTAAGTGTAAGTTATTCTTATGAAATCAATAGTTTCTTTTTTGGAGAATGACAATTTAAAATCATCTAGATAGTGTAATATAGTGAATTAAGTGCCTCAATGGTTGGCATATCCACTTTAGTCCTTGAATTGTCCTGAAAGTGGAAGTTTTCACCATCGGTCCTATAGAAAAGTTGAGTTATAATGGTCACCAAAATCTTTTTTCACCTTAAATGATTGAAAGTGCTAAAACTACCATTTTGATAACACTTAAAGGCTATGTTAAGAATGCGCAAACAAGATCCAGTCGAGAGAAACAATATTCGTGAGCATTAAATGAAGTTGTGCTTGTTGTTAGACTAATTGATGCCGACCTTGTCAAGAGATACAAATGAGTTCTACGAAAAGTAATTTATTCCATAACAAAAAATGCTTAATTACAGAGCCTGCAAGATATATAAAGAGAAAAGGAAACAAGAGTTGCAAAGCTAATATAACTCAAAAGGGGATGGCTCTCTGAACTAGAATGAGGAAGTATAGTAATAATAGGAAACAATAACTTTATCTCCAAGTTTAGCCCCTTTCAGTTTTCGGCTGCTCGGCTCTTGGGCACCTTTTGTGTAGGATATGCTTGTGGCTCCAAAAGGAGTTTACAACAAGTTACCGTATCCATGAGATGGAGACTTGAGTTATTACTACTGTGACAATCTAAAGGGGTAAAAGTGGACAATTCAATGTCATCTGTGGTTTCCAGCTACTGTGATTTAGTAAATTTAGCGTCTCGGATGTTTGTGTATCCACTTAAGTCCTTGAATTGTCCCAAAAGATGTACTTTTCGTCCTTCCAAAGAAACTTTTCTAATCAAACAGTTGAATGAGAAAAGATCAATCATTGCTTTGTTAATAGCCGATTGGAATTGCAAACAATTGCTTTCCATAACTGCATTCTGCGTATGTTTGTCCTTGATTCAGGATAAAGCTTCTAGAAAAACACCATTTCTATCTGCTAAATAAATTCAGCTTGTATCATGGATAATCCAATAAAAATCAGTGGTTATCTGATAATTGATCAAAACTATATTTAAGATAATTTCTCAATTTAACTAATAGTGCTCAAACTAAAATTTCAGTTACAACTGGAAGTTAATGTTTTCATGAGAAGAAATACTCAATTTGCCACATTTATGTAAATTTAAGGACTAAAATTGGTCACGTGGACAGTTGAGGGACTGATTTCCCAATATCACCATAACGAAAGTACCAAATATGCCATTTTTCCTTGTTAGCAGAAGATTATATATGTAGAATTATTTAGCACACAACATATTTTGAGGTTTTCAATGAATTAGCTAAATTTGCACTGCACTCATTTGTTATGTGGATTCTTCCCATTGAGGTAGATAATACTCTATGATTCATCATGAATCTAATATGTCTGAATTAGAAAATTGAAGTGGTGTGCTACCTTAATAAGGTGTCATTCTTGTGTAGAAAGAAGTTACAATCATGGTTGTTGAACTCTCCTAATCTTCGTTTTGCCAGCTACAATTTCCCATATCTCTAGCATTGTTTCACCAGTATTCTCTTTAGGGTCTGTTTGGATGAGGTTTTTTGGAGGGAAAGACTTTTGGAGGCTGAATATATCTTCACACACACACATGATTATATCAAAATTGAAGGATCATTAACATAGTATATAATCATAGAGCATTTCAATCACCTTTTATTGGTTTTTAGAAATATTCTAATTATGTAGGAATAGACCCCTTAATAACCCTTCATACAAACAGACCCTTAGAGTCTACGACTATCGCTTTGTATTCCATCTTAATGAAGAAGTCCCACAGTTACTGTATTAAAGATATTTATGACTTGATCTTATTTTTATCAGTTCCTCCATAGAGAGGATTGACATCTGACTGTAACTGAGCAATGACTCAATGAGCATATGAACTCAAATCTTACTTCACCAGATATGAAGTTCTTTCACTTTTTAATCATTCTTTGAGTTTTATGTTGCCAAAGATCAATTGAACTTTACTTTCATGCATGTACTGTTCATTGGATTGTTATTATCAACATTGTTTTTGTAAGGTGGGCGCTAGCAAAACCACTTCCTGGAGCCAACCGCCTTATGAGTCATCTCCATAATAAAGGAGTTCCATTCGCACTTGCTTCGAATTCTGTAAGGAGAAACATCGAGGGGAAACTCTCTTACCATGAAGGTTGTGTTTTGACTTCTTAACACTGTAAATAGTTCCTCTTTTTCTCAAGGGGTTGGTTTGGATTGAGAGTTCTGGAGGGTTTGATAGACTAAGTCTATATCTTGGTATATATGTGAGGCTCTATTAAGATTGACAATATAAAATCATATGTGATATATAGCTCCCTGTCCTTTTCTTCTTGCCTGATATCAACTTTTTATTATGGATGTGAACCTTGTTATTCCTTCTCCTAATGAAAAGGATCATCTTTTATTTACCATGAAGTGGTGTCTAGTTCAGTTGAACCATTTGTTTGCGATTCAATTTGATGAGATGTTTTATCTTTCCTTATAAACACACATTCTTTTACTTTCACAGGATGGAAAGAACGCTTTGCGGTGATTCTCGGAAGTGACCAAGTTAGATTAGGGAAACCTGCCCCAGACATGTATGCTAAGATGGATAAATATTCATGATTCCTCTAGATTGCTCAGTTACCTTTATGGGCACATAGATGAAGTCATTTTTTATCTTCTGCTCAGATTTCGTGAAGCTGCAAAGAGGATGAACGTAGATGCAGCAAATTGTCTTGTGATAGAGGACTCGGTGTAAGCTTTCCTTCATACTATTCCTTATAATTACTTACCTTCTTCTTGGGGAAGGGGCGGGGGTATAATTATATTCAAACCAGACCATTTCATAAATATCAATTGAGATTAGACCAAGCAGATGTTGCATATTAGACAAGAAAGACTTTACCCAGACCAGATCTTAAAACAATTCATATCAAATTTATCTATTTATTTCGGGCTAAGAGAATAAATAGGTCATTACTAACCAGAGTGTGGAAAGTTTTAAATTTTCATTGTAATTTTTACAGAGTTGGAGTCAAAGCAGCAAAAGCTGCTGGAATGAAGGTAGTTGCTGTGCCATCAGTAAATATTGGAATCCATCAGTTTTCTGTTGCTGATTATGTGCTGCATTCCATTCTTGAGTTACAGCCTGAAATTTGGGGTCTTCCACCGTTTGCGGACTGTATGCATACTCACCCCCTACATAGATATCCACCTTCTCTGCTTATACTCACAGTTTTATTGCTTGGATCTGACTTCTATTGGGTTTTTTTGTAATTATTATTGCAGTGGTAGATAATGTGTTGCCAGTTGAACCCATTTCTTTCAAAGGCTTCTACAGCAATGGACTTCTCAATGAATCCACAGGTTTATGAGTCTATATATATAGTCTTGGACTCGGGTCGGGCCGCCCGGCCCGGCCCGGTGAACCGGTTATGGTTCCGGGCTTAGGCCTGGTCCCGGGGGTTAGGGTGGGGTGATCCCGGTTCAGCCCACTCTTTGGAACCGGCCCGGCCGGTTCCGGTTCGTTTTTTTTTTTTTTCATTTTTTGGGCTTTTTCCTGAGTTAGGCTGTGTGTTTTGAAGGGGTTTGGGGGGTGGGGGGTTAATTAGAAAAGAAAAAAAAATAACATGGGCCCGGCCTGACCCGGACCCGGTGGTAACCCGGGCCGGTCCTGGGCCTTCACCCCAAACATCAAAAGCCCGGCCGGGCCTAGGCCCGACCCAGACCCGGCCCGACCCGAGTCCAAACCTATATATATAAGGAGAGATGATCAACTTAGAAATTCTCACTCATGAAATATTACTTATAGTAACAAAGTTTTTAACTTTTATGACAAAACATATAACTTCTTGTTGTTATGATAAAACATTCATGAAATAAATCTAGTTTTTATCGTAAAAGAAGTAGATTGAAAGTTTCGTTAGAAGTTATATTCTGGTTACTATAAGTTATATTTCACATGTGAGAAATAAATATATCCATTTCTCATGTGATCTTTTTCCTATATGTGTATCTAATGAATGTTGATGTTCGTAGATGATATGTTGGCTGGTCTGCCTGATCAAGTTTTCGGGATTTATATGGGATGGGCAAAAATCTACTCAAACAAGTTACTGAAGATTGTTGTCAGCATTGGATGGGAAAATAATAACTGTAGTTTAGAACGGCATATTGTGAGTATAAAACAAAACGGCCTGGTTATACCTTATTCATGTTTTTTTTTTGTTTTCTTTTTCTTGGACATTAGTTGAAATGTTATGCCTTTGCAGAAAGCATTTTTACCTGAGGGAAATGATGAGAATGCCAATGATTGTGAGATGGAGCTTGTTTTAGTGGGATATATCAGAGGATCATATGGGAAGGTAATAATCGACTTCTGTGCATGCCATTAGTCTGTTGAGAGTTATCGTTGGTACAAAGGAAAGATAAGATGCATCAAAATGGGTTGTTACAATGTGCAGGAAACAACATATGCTCTTGACATTCTTGATGAAGACAAATGTACAGCAAGATCTGCTTTTTGTCAACCAGAATTTTCAGTTGATGCTTGTATGTCCTTATTTCAGCAGTTTAATGAGTGAATAGATAATTTGGAGGACATGAGATTCTGAACGTGTTTTTTTGCATGTATATACATATAGCCTGAGCATAAGAAGAAGCCCTTTCAGTGTATTTGTTTTGAACTACCCTCAGTCCCGAAAGAGTGACAAGGATAACGTAAATATGATAAAGCTATTAAAGCAAAGCAAATAGTAATCAAATAGTCAATGATCCGTCCTAAATAAATCCTCGCAATAATTTTGACACATAGTTTTATTAAAGCACTTTTCAGTCAGCACCTCAGCACTTATTATCCCCATCACTTATTGAAACAACTACAAATTCAAAGCATATGTGGAGCCATTCTTATTTAATTTTTAAATCATTCAGATTCGTTTGAACAAGAAAGAGAAGAAATAATCTTAATGTTTGAATTCTTATGACTTCTGAATGAGTCCAGCAACATCTTTAGGTTGCTGTTGGATGAAACACTAATATTGTTGGAGGGATAGAATGGAAAATGGCGGAGAACTCGTGCAAGATAGAGCCTTTTCGAAGGTGAGTGGCGTAAAAAAGACCTCTAATACAAAGCGAGTTTGCATAAAGTGATGGTCTTCAAGAGCTGTTTTACTTGGTATACTGGCTCAACTCGGGATGAGCGAATCGGCATCTGGAGAGGCACATATATGTCAACTTCGAGTCTCAACTGGGGACATGCTTGCATATCCCCATGCACGGGATCTGAGACGGAGGTTGTGATGAGGTCCCTACAGATGGAGGCACCCTCATCTACAGCAACAAGTGCCTGCTGGGTGAGATTATAGTCGAAACATAGAGCCCATTTTCTTGACTCCAGAAGCAGTATATGCATAAATTCTCTCTTTCCATCTTCACTTAATGAGTTGTACACATCCAACATTCTCTCATACTCGAGATATATATGCATTGATAAAATGAAACAGTGTAAGCACTCTTAATCTGGTTTTCATGAACGCACGAAACATGTTGAAATGGATCACTATTTTATACATGGCTGGTTTGCTAGTGGGAACATTCAATCTCAGCCTGTTTCCTCGTCTAATCAAGTAGCAAACCTTTTCAGCAAGACTCTTGGGGTGGACCACTTTCAATTCCAACCAAGTGTTTGGAATCTTCACCATTGTTTCCTTATTAAGATTCATTATCATTGCGATATTGTTTCTTTGTTATATTGTTTCCTCATTATCATTATTTGGTCTTATTCCCTTCAGAACTCTTTCCTAACTTTTGTAGAGGCTTTGTCCAAACATCTTTCATTAATCACTCACTATAACAAACTTGGTAAAGATCGATAGACTCCATAAAATTGAGATATATCTATAAAAATCATGCTTGGATTAAAACTTTTTCAGTTCCAAAATACAATTCAAACTGGAGAAAGTGTTCTATAGTTTTCTTTTGCATATATTTCAAAATATGGTATATAAAAGTTTTCTTTTTCAAAAAATGGTATTTTAATAAATATTTTTCTAATAAACTAGTTTTCCACTGGTGAGGCCCATCTGGTCTACGTAGAAATTCGTAAATCATACTCCATTCGTCTCGAAAAGGTTCCCCAAATTGACTATTCTTGATCAATGCTAGTCACCTTTGATTAATGATATTTTTAACAAGAAATTATTTTGAATATGAAAAAAAAGTATATTAAAATGTTCCTTATTAAAAATATTTTTATAAAAAGTATAAATTTTTTAAATTATATGTAATACAAAAACATAATAATTAAAATAGTTATCCAAAATTTGTCATCTTTGAACAAGAAAAGTCAATACGACAAACCTTTTTTAGACGGAGGTACTATTATGCAAAAATAAGATCTAAAAATTGTGCTTCTCTACATACCGTTTTTTAATTCTTAAAGAATATATCTGCCTCTCAACTAATTAAGATTAAGACCCTACTCGACCCGAGAGCCCAGGCCTTACTTGATTCAAACTCACATACTCCCTCCGTTTCAGTTTGTTTGACATAGTTTGATTTGTCAACATTTAAGGAAAACATTTACTAAGGGATAAATTTTACTTTTTGGGCACTGTTTGGACACTGTTTGGACACTGTTTGGCACTGTTTGAACACTGTTTGACACTGTTTGACACTGTTTTGTTTACCAAATGGGAAGCGTGACATTCATTTTGAAACGTCCAAAAAAGGAAAGTGTGTCAAACAAACTGAAACGGAGGGAGTATTACCTCCATTCCAAAAATAAATTTTCACTTTTCTTGTTTATGTGCCTCAAAAATAACAATTATCCTTACTTTTTATTAAATTTGATATAAATTAGGTGTATGGTTTGGAATGCAGAGAAAGGTTTTACCTTACATAAATAAATATATGTGCAAAATCAAACTATGAAGTTGTTTCGGGATGGATGAAGTACATGCTTGATCACTCATAGTCATTGTCTCATTGATGTTCTGGACTTCGGGACTATTTTATATAAATGGAACTTTTTTACTTTTTCAAGAATAGATATAAGGCACATTGTAGCCATATAAACTTGACAAAATTATACTTATCTTATTTTCCCATGAAAAGCATATATAAGACATATGGTATATGGAAAATTTCCAAAATATGAGTCAAAACATTTTGAAATTTCAAAATATGAATACTATGTTATAATTCCATAGATATGAGTAATTAACATCAAATTTATATTATAATAATAATATTATGTTTAAAGTTAGATTATAATCATTATTTTTATTTAGGAGATAAAAACATAGTAATTCTATTTAGAATTCACAATGTTTTTACTTCTTCCTTTATAGGGCAATTTCCTATACGGTACCCATTGAAACTTGAAAATTTTGTTCGTTATTATTATAGGACTAAAATTCAACTTAAATTCAAAATATGACTTCCTAGTTTTTATTCATCATGTAGGACTAATATGATCCAATGTTTAAAAGTGTAATAATATTAGTCTAACAAACTTGGTGTTTAAAGCTCTCCAATCTCTCTTAAATTTTAGGTTAGTCCTTTAAGGGTTTAGTTATTGCTGTCTGATAGAGAAAGCTGGGATCATTACTTTTAGCTATTCTTCAAAATCAAAGTGATGCAACTATTTAAGAATGGAGGAACTACATTTTATTTTTAAGAGAATTTATGGTCCATATTTTTTTCTGATAAACATGAGTAACACATTTCCACTATTTTAAGCCGTATACAAACCAAGCAAATAGAATGGTTTTAGTACAATGGTTATAATAATAATGAGATAAAATTCCATAATCGTCCATTGTCAGAAACCAGACGTTCATGAATTGAGAATTGAGATGGTTGTCGTAAATGACACTTCTATATAAAAGACTGATTTTCGGGCAGCAGACAAGTGATCATTGATAAATATAATATGCAGTACATGTATAAATAAGTCTTCTCCTGATGGTTCCCTCACAGTTTTATTAAATACTCCGGTATATAAAAAGCATTGTACAAAAAAAAACATCAGAGAATCGAACGCAGCAATAAGCCTAGCCGGTGTTTTGCATTCCAGCAGCAATACCTTTCATGGTCAAGATGAGAGTGTCTTCCAGCCCAGGAGCGTATTCGCTTGTAGGATTAAGCTTCACCAACTCAGCAGCCGTTTTGCTCAACTCTGTTATCTCCTTGGACAGATGGGGCCTCACCTTCACATTGTAGCTCGGGTCACGGACCCGCTTAAGTGTGTATGCTTGACACGCATTGAGTGTGGTGATATAGGAATCACGGAGCTTGAGTCGCTGCCTCAAGTAGGGGTCCCCTTCAAGAAGATCCTTGTGCCCAGCAACCTAATTCAGAAGAAGATAGTCAAGACAGGTTGCAAAAATCAATATGTGACCGAATGGCTCAAATTTTTAAACTTAACTCAGCTCAATAATATTCTGAAATATGAGCCTCAGCTGGGGGTGAACCTGGTCTCACTCTGAATCGGTTACGATTCCTCAAAACCAAGCCAAAAAAATCAGACTGTAATTGTCCAAATAAACCTGGCCACCTATACCCGGTTGGGCTTATGGATAACCTCTTTGAAGATCTTGGAAACCGAAGCAAGCTATGCCCATCTCTAGTCTCAACCATTTGAACTACTACCTCCATCACACTAAAATTGGGACATGAGGAAATGTCCCAAACCCAATTATGATGAAAAGTGATATAATGTGGTTGGTATTGAATTTGTAAATTATGAATGAAGTAAAAGCAAAATCATTACCGTGCTATGGGGCAAATTTAGTGAGATGGACAAAAGGAAAGTGTGTGATAGAGATAGTGGCACGTAGGGACTGAATAAGGTATGCAGAATCATTTCTTATGCAGGGTGATAGGTGGGGTTAGTAAATTCACAATGTAGTGATAGATGTCTACTATTTCTATAAAACTTTCAAAGAAGTGTAATATTCGCCTACAAAGTTTACTATTTTTTGCAGCAGTGGTTACGATGTGAAATATCCTGTACAATTGTGTCTCCACCGAAGAGGGTAATCTTACCTGAAGGAGAAAGCTTTTGGTCAGTTCGTACTTGGCCCTTAGCTGGTCTCCAAGTGGCCACAAATCGGCAGACACTAAAAGCTTGTCGTACATAGCAGCAATACCTGGGTCACCCTTTGCAAAGACCATTTCAACCAAGTCAAGTGTGACTCTAAAGAAGGGCCATTCCCTGTACATGTCTCTGAGCATTTGGAGGTTCCTAATATCCTTCTCAATAACATGCTTAAAAGCATCCCCAAAGCCAAGCCAAACTGGCAGATGAAACCTTGTCTGAGTCCAAGCAAAGATCCAAGGGATTGCTCGTAGTGATTCGATTCCACCACTTGGTTTCCTTTTTGCAGGCCGACTCCCGATGTTCATACGCCCATATTCCAACTCTGGTGTTGCCTGCATAATTATTATAAAAATATATAATTTCCATTACATGAAAACTTGACAAGCAAAACATGTTACAATTTTTTGAAAACCACTTCTCATTCCCACATTTGGCAATCGACTTCAATTTTCCCACATTTGGGGCATTTTGTGAATATTTGCAACTTTTGGTTCTTCCCATTCACTTATTCAGTGAAAACCGACTACAAATTGACCCTATAAGTCATTGGGAGGGCAAGAAAATGCAAGAAATCATTCATGCACCAAAAGATGGAAAAAAAAAGTTAAGGATCATTAGTGGGATGGCCTAATAGTAATTAGACCAAAAATGGAAAGGAAAAAAAAGAAACCAGGTACTAAATATGGAAAAAGCGAAAGTCGTGGGCCAATAGAGGGAACTTGATTTCTTATACTTACAAGGCGAAAGTATTCAACAAAGCGTGGATCCTGGAAGACCACAGATCGATACTCTTTAGTGGCAATAACTGACATCTGATCCAGAAGCGCACGCCATTCTGGTTTTGGTGAAACCGGCGGATGCATCCCGTGCTCAAGTGTGGCTGCAGTGAACCTCTGCAGTGTTCTGAAACACAAGTGTTCTTCCCCAAAAGACTGTTCAATGACTTCACCTTGAACTGTCACACGCAGCGAGCCATGTATGGTATCTGGCGGCTGTGATAAGATAGCAAGATGGGTGGGACCACCTCCCCTTCCAACGGTTCCTCCCCTTCCATGAAACATTGTCAACTTAACGCCATACTCTTTTGCTACCTTCACTAGCTCCTCTTGAGTCTTGTACAGTTGCCAAGCCGCAGAAAGCCGGCCTGCATCCTTACCAGAATCTGAATACCCGATCATGACCTCTTGCTTTCCCTTGATTCGATTCATGTACCAGTCAATTGAGAACAAGCGGGCCACGGCTGCGGGGGCTGCCTCCAGGTCACCCAGTTTCTCAAAGAGTGGGACCACCCGTAAGGGGTCCGTGATGTGACACTCTCTTTGTAAGAGTTCTACGGCAAGCACGTCGGATGGGGCCGTGGCCATTGAGATGACATAGGCACCAAAGCTGTCGGACGGGAGCTCGGAAAGCACATGGAAAGTGTTCAGCACGTC